CACTTTTACTCTCTTAATGTCTCTCTCTGGTGAACTCATGCATCCTATATCAAAAGTCTAAAAAAACAAAGAAATAAAAGAAAGAATAAAAAAGATAACAAGTGTTAGTGAAGAAGCAGAGAAAAGAGAATACTTATACACAGTTGGTGGGAATATAAATTGGTATAGCCACTATGGAAAACAGTATTGGGGGTTCACAAAATATTAAAAATAGAACTATCATATGGTACAGCAATACTACTACTGGATATGTATTTATAGAAATTAAAATCATTATCTCAAAGAGGTATCTGCATTTTCATGTTCACTGCACCATAATTAATCATTGCCAAGCTATAGAAGCTAAATGTCTGTTAACAGATAAGTACATAAAGAAAATGTGGCCAGGGACAATGGGGGAGGAAGATGGGACATAGCAGAGGGTGGGGGATAGGGAATCAGGGATGGCAAGACAAAGGGCAAGGTATGCAGGACGTAAGAATTGGAAAATTATTTGCTGAGAACATGTATGTGGATGTGCTTGATTGAGCCAATGCACAGTGTATTTTGGATGGAAAATTCATTTGAGTGTTGTGATGGTGTAAAGTGACTTAATAAAAAAAAAAAAAAAGTACAACTGGAAAAAAAAAATTTGAAAAAAAAAAAGTCAGTGTTTTCTAGCTCCCAAGGTTTCTATAGAGAAGCTCAATACCATTCTCATTCCCCGAACTTTTGAATATAACCTGTCGGAATTCACGGAATGGTCCTGCAGAAGTAATCATCTCTTTTGTTGTTGTTGTTACTCTTTCTAGAAAAGATATTCTCATACTTCAGTATCCAACTATTTTACTAATTTGCTAATTTGGGAAATAGAATGTTTCATTTCTAAGAGCTCTTTCTTAGTCTATGATTGTTCTCTGGTGTAGCATTCTGGTTTTGTTTTATAGATATAACTTCTCCTCCTAGTTCTGTAAAGCTAGCCCTTTCAGCAGCCTGTCAAGAGACAACCCAGATTGTTCCATCTTCTCTCCTTTCCCAAGGAGTGTGACTTTTTCTGCTCTGATTTATCATTTGTCATTTCCCCATCTACCTCTGTCTTCATACTGTGGTTTCCATTAGCAGACGTCCCCATCTTCAAAGATGGCATTCCCTGATTGTTCTAAGGGTGATTTAATAAAAAAGAGGAAAATGTCTTTATCATTTGAAAGCTCAGTTATACTTGTGTACTAACCATTTTAATGTTCTTACTCTTGCTTGCTAATTAGACCATAAGAAAAGGACAGCTTATTTTACTTTGAATTCCCATAACTTCTTCCAGCAAAAGCAGGGGATGGGATGGGAGAAGGGAAGAGTATACAGAAGGAACTTAGGGAGAAAAATAGAGAAGTAACACATTTGTGGGACACAGAAACGGTTTATTACCAGTTGATGGTGACGGGTATAGTATTCTCAACTGGACTGGTCGGAGGTGCATTTTATCTTGGGTAAATTCTCTCTACAAGCTAAATGATGTATAGCAACTGAATGTATAAAAAATAAAATAATAATAATAATAAAGCATAAAATGTGCCTGTGAATACACTCAGGATTTAATAAGCAACTTGTAACTTAACAGAGTTTCTTATTTCAACAGCCAAGCGACTCGAATCACCAGTGCAATGCTTTACTTTCATTCTGTTCTCTTAGCATCAATTCATGAAGACAGGAGTAGACTGTTGTGGACACTGAACCTGAGTCCCATGAGGCAACCTGGTCTTTTTGTTTGATTTCAGGATTGGTAGGAAAATAGCTATGGCCGTCCATGTCTAGTAACTCAGCCTAGTACCTTGAAACTAGGAGAATCTAGTTGCCTGATTTGTGAAGGTCTTCATAATAATATTACAAATGCTTAGTACCACTGTTCGTACAGTCAATGAATTCTCTACAGTCTTTTCCCTTCCAAGGCTATTATCACTTAGCCAATACCACAATAATATGGTGTAACAAACCGCCCCAAACTCAGTGACTTGAAACAATCGTGTATCCTCCTGGGATACATCTATGCGGGTCAGCTGGGGAACAACTGAGCTAGGCTGGGTCTGGCTGGTGCAGCTCTGCTTCATTCTGTAGCTAGAAAGATTGGCTCTGCTCCATGTGTCTCTTATCCTCCTGCTGGGGCCAGCAGGCCAGTCAGGGCATGCCCTTCTCACGGTGATGGCAAAGACACAAGAGAGCAAATCTGACGGCAAAAGCACATTTCCAGCAGCTGCTCCTGTCCCATCTATTAACATCCCACTAGCCAAGACGAGTCAAAAAATCAGAGTAAAAGAATGAGAAAATACAACCAGTGACAGTGGGAGGGCACAGCTAAGCGACAAGGCAAAGGATGTGGATTAATGATGACAATCCTATCACTGAGACCGGAGGGGCTGCAGAGAGTTGGAACAATAACCCCGTCTACTGTCCAGCCTTCCCATCACCACCTAACCAATCTATGACAGCTGAAGAACTTACAAAACCTTTCATACAGATTCAGTTAAAGTATAACTGGAAGAATAAATCTATTACTCTCCAAGTGTGCATTCACAAGTAGTAGCCCATTTTTAAAATGCTCCCCATCACCATTTACCTCGAATAGAAAGAATAGTTAGGAGATGTACACATTGACTTGAATTTTTGTCATGGGGAACCCCAACCAGCAACTTATTTAGTCCTTTCTACTTTTGGTCAAAAGCAGGGATGGGCTACAGGGAAAAAGGTAAAGGAACTCACCAGGGGACAGCACCCCCACTACAAGCACTGTGCCTTGGAGTCACACTTCATTTCATCCCATGTTTTTATACTAGGCAGGCAAATAAGAAAACCTTTTGTATCAGCTCCCAAACTCCCTCACCCAGTAGCTAGGGAAGGGTGCTCATTAAAAGCAGGGCAGAGCTTGGGACAAAGACATTACAGAAGGTTCAGAAAACAAAACAAAATGAAAAAAAATTAAAAACAGTGAAAAGGATACCAAGAGAGCATAAACAATTCTTGCTTTCTTCAAGTTCGGCATATCCAGCAAAAATAGAATCAAATATCTCTATTACTTCCATTACAAGATAAACCTTTTACTTCTTTACTCCCATTGTATCAACTCCTAGACCCTTCATAAAACTGAGGGGGGAAATGGCATTTGTTGCCTGTGAACAAAGACTTTGGGTTTTGCTTTGTTGTGTTTACTTGGTTATGAGTGATAGCAGATCGAAATGTCTTCATCCAGTTGAGTGCTTTTTTCCAATATACCCTCTGAACACAGAGACTGAAATAACATCTGAGAGTCCCAGAAGTATTGTGAGCTGAGAGCGTAACAAAGCTCTGCTATGCTACATAAAATTGAGCCGAGATCCACCGATAATAACAATAATGCATTTCTGCTTCATGCTTTTCATCTCGACATGTTTGAATTACCCACTCTACTTCAGAACCACTTTGCTGCAAATCCCTCCCCCAACTTAAGAACCACCATCTCTCAAATCAGAAGGTTCTGATGTTTCATGACTGTATAAACAAGAAGAAATAAACATAGTTTATTATGAAACATAGTTCTCATACTCATGCCTGTCCCAACCTTCCTCCTTCATTTTTTGCAAAGAAACACTGTATTTAATTTAATGTGCATTCAAGGTAAATCAGGTGCAGGGCCAGCCAGTGGCATGGTGGTTAAGGCAGCTGGATCCCACATGGCTGACTGTACACCTGGTTCAAGTCCCAGACCTGACGACTTGCAAACACATCGGAAACATGTATGTGTGCCCAAAATCTCAAGAGGAAAATGCAGAAGGGATCGTGACATGGCCATTCCCCCCTCTCCTCCAAAAGAAGTGCTTTATCTCCCTCTCTCTCTCTCTCTCTCTCTCTCTTTCTCTCTCCCTCTGGTGAACACATGTGCCATATAACAAAATTTAAACAAATAGTTAAATAAAATATTAGCTGCCAACTAATGAATACACTGCCATATATCTTAGACTTTTTTGCCCATGGTTGAAATTTCAAATCATGTCATCTTCCAATTAATATTCATTTGACCTCATAATCATTTTGTAACACATTAGAACAAAAATGAATTAAAATTCTCCATTTCGAAATGATCTTCTTACTCCCCCAAGGATTCTAGAATTCATTCTGAGTCACTGCTAATGTATTTAATCCAAGAAATCAGCACAAGGGAAACAGATACCTTCATGGAAAGGAGTTGCTTGTCTAGAGCACGGGCAAGTTCCAACATCATTGCACATGGCACAGCTGAGTCAGTGGCTCCCACAAACACCCTGTTGTTCCAGCGAGGAAAATATTTGGAGTCGTAGTGGCAGGCGAGGACCAAGTGTCGTTTGGCAGTGGGATTGAGGGTGCCGATGATGTTCGAGAAAGAGCGGTATCCATACGGTGTCTGACTCAAGAAGGTGTCTACTTCCAAGACCCAGTCAGCCTGAAGTCTCTGAATTCGCCGCATAATGTGCTGATCGAAACAAAATCCAGAATTTCATATGTAAATAGTTTACCCTTTTTTTTCATTATTGAGGGCATGGGTGGCATCTCATATGATATTCACACCTGGATCCTCCCCAAACCCTGTAACCAGGCAGGATTATGGTCATACTCTCTGACACACCTGGGGTGTTCTTCAAGGGCAAGAATTGCAAATGGCAGCTCTTTTTGTCTCGAATCCACAGTGCCCAAGTTCTCTCTTTCTCTCTCCCTCTGGTGAACACATGTGCCATATAACAAAATTTAAACAAATAGTTAAATAAAATATTAGCTGCCAACTAATGAATACACTGCCATATATCTTAGACTTTTTTGCCCATGGTTGAAATTTCAAATCATGTCATCTTCCAATTAATATTCATTTGACCTCATAATCATTTTGTAACACATTAGAACAAAAATGAATTAAAATTCTCCATTTCGAAATGATCTTCTTACTCCCCCAAGGATTCTAGAATTCATTCTGAGTCACTGCTAATGTATTTAATCCAAGAAATCAGCACAAGGGAAACAGATACCTTCATGGAAAGGAGTTGCTTGTCTAGAGCACGGGCAAGTTCCAACATCATTGCACATGGCACAGCTGAGTCAGTGGCTCCCACAAACACCCTGTTGTTCCAGCGAGGAAAATATTTGGAGTCGTAGTGGCAGGCGAGGACCAAGTGTCGTTTGGCAGTGGGATTGAGGGTGCCGATGATGTTCGAGAAAGAGCGGTATCCATACGGTGTCTGACTCAAGAAGGTGTCTACTTCCAAGACCCAGTCAGCCTGAAGTCTCTGAATTCGCCGCATAATGTGCTGATCGAAACAAAATCCAGAATTTCATATGTAAATAGTTTACCCTTTTTTTTCATTATTGAGGGCATGGGTGGCATCTCATATGATATTCACACCTGGATCCTCCCCAAACCCTGTAACCAGGCAGGATTATGGTCATACTCTCTGACACACCTGGGGTGTTCTTCAAGGGCAAGAATTGCAAATGGCAGCTCTTTTTGTCTCGAATCCACAGTGCCCAAGTCCAGCAAATGTTTTATGAGTAATAAACACTTATGAAAGATATTGATGCCCACCTATAATGACAATGTAGAGTCTGTAAAAAGGAGATGTTAGTGGGTATTCGAGGTCCATGCTCACTCTAAGAATAAGAAACAACTCTGAACCATACTGACATAGCAAATAGTTTCCCCCTATACTCTAAGCAAGTCCAGATCCACTGCAGGTGCTGATCAAAACAGAAAGAATCTTGGGGGCCAGCAGGGGGCATGGTTGGTTACAGTACTGGACTCCCACAGGGCCAACCACAGTTCAAGTCCCAGACCAGGCAGCTTGAAAATCATGCCAGACATGTGTACACGCAGGCCCAAAATTCCAGGAGGAGAGTAGAGGAAAAGGGATTGCAGCATGGTCATCCCCTTGCGGGGTGATTCCTTATTTTCCCTCTCATTGTTTCTCTCTGTTTCTTGCTAGGGAGTGCATGCACCCTATGGCAAGAACCATAAAAAAATAAGTAAATAAATAAATAAAAATAATTTCTTTCTGCATCTCTCTGGGCCACCTCACACCTTGAGGACAAAACGGTGGCTTATGGGAGAAAGCAGCAGGTGAAGAAAGTAGTTCCCCATCAGGGACAGCATGGCATGAGACACTACGGCGCGTTCATTGCTGCTTCGTCTGCACTTTCTCCTCCTGTTTTCTCTTGGCCTCACTTCTCTCATTATGTCCTTTTTCTGTCACACGGTTTATTATCTTTGTAGATTGCTTTCAATTATTTTTTAAAAAGTCAAATGACAAGCTAACCAACAAAATAATTGGCGATTTTTACCACAATTAGTATCTAGTAGCAATGGACCTTGAGGTGATAAACGAATAACTTATAATAACTGGAAATGAGTGGGAGCGATTTTTCGCCCAAGGAAATAAAGGATTCTCTATGCCGGCCAAGTCTCGGGTGGCCACCCATTAATGTAACACGACACGTAGACAAGAGCCTTGGAAAAACTGCAGCAGGAAGCTTCCAGACGGAGGGAAACCACCAGAATAAGTAAATAAATAAATAAAAATAATTTCTTTCTGCATCTCTCTGGGCCACCTCACACCTTGAGGACAAAACGGTGGCTTATGGGAGAAAGCAGCAGGTGAAGAAAGTAGTTCCCCATCAGGGACAGCATGGCATGAGACACTACGGCGCGTTCATTGCTGCTTCGTCTGCACTTTCTCCTCCTGTTTTCTCTTGGCCTCACTTCTCTCATTATGTCCTTTTTCTGTCACACGGTTTATTATCTTTGTAGATTGCTTTCAATTATTTTTTAAAAAGTCAAATGACAAGCTAACCAACAAAATAATTGGCGATTTTTACCACAATTAGTATCTAGTAGCAATGGACCTTGAGGTGATAAACGAATAACTTATAATAACTGGAAATGAGTGGGAGCGATTTTTCGCCCAAGGAAATAAAGGATTCTCTATGCCGGCCAAGTCTCGGGTGGCCACCCATTAATGTAACACGACACGTAGACAAGAGCCTTGGAAAAACTGCAGCAGGAAGCTTCCAGACGGAGGGAAACCACCAGAGGGAGGACACAGACTCTACAGCCATCAATTCCGCAACAGTGGAATGAACCAATGACTCCTCAGCTGATTGTTCTTTGCTTTGTGTAGAGGTAGACTTTGGCTCTCATAGCATTATATATCCAGTAGCTTACCTTCTCTACGCCAGGTTCACGTGTTCCCTTTTCAAATCATCAAAAGAGATGTTTATGACCTTTGAAATCAGCATTCATCCCTCACTTACTCTGTTATTCTCCACAACTCTTAGTCTGTGCTTTGCTCACAGTAGGCTGTCTGGATATGTGAGTTGATTCAACGAAAATATATAAAGTTACATGACCCCAAATAGGAGTAGTTTCTTAGGGAGAAATCACGGTGTATCTAGGATAAGCTGTCTCACAGAATGTGAAGATGAGTTATCCCTAACCTTTGTGAAAAAATATTTTTCCATAAAAGAATTCATCTTTAGAAAGGAAAAAAAAAAAAAAAAAAGCATACGCTTCTGAACATCTGGTAACCAGATGATGAACTGCTCTACAAAATGGTTTCTTCAACATCACTAGCCGCCTGCAAGCTCACAAAACGACTTAGGATTTTAAAAAATATATTTACTAGCGTTGTGCAGAAGTCTCACACACGAACTCCTTTCTCAACTACTAACAAGGTCTCGGCCAAAATTTCTGATGTCTACATTGACATTAAAATCCACGAGAACCATCAAATATCCCTAGAAGGGCTCTCCCTGAGGTCACTTTTTAATTTTATCTTAGCAACTAAGATAAATATACTTTATAAACAATCAAATTGGCTGTATCATCTAATTAGGTCAACCATATCCCTTTTTGTTGTGCTTTTGGCTTTCGGACTTAGTCCACAAGTTTCCACTGCAAGTCTCTAGAGTAGGTTTAAAAACAAACAAACAAAAAAAACAAACAAACGAACAAAAAAACCTGACTGCTCTTATCACTAGAATATCTCCAGGCAGAGAATGCCTGGCTGGGGCAGGAAGTCTATAGCAGCCATGCTTCCCAATACCAAAAAGCAAAGGGTTGGACCCGCCAAGCATGCTAAAAGCAATTTAAAATAGAGACTATACTTTATATTACTGTACATCTATGTTTTAAAACAGCATTAAAACAGGGGAAGAAAAGAAAGCATCAGAGAGAGAGAGAGGGAAGAAGATATAAAGACAGAGATAGATGCAGATTGAGTAGAGAAAGAAAAAGATACAAATACAGAGATGGTGAGAAAGCAAGAGAGAAGCTATTTTATGACATTCTTCATTTGACAGGGTAGCAGAGGGATTCACAGTAGGTCAACATTCGTGAACGATCCCGGTTCTAGTTTAATTAAACTTAATTTCTCATTTCCAGCGTCGGAACAACACTGGTATCAGTAGATCCAGTTTGAGTGGAGGAAGAGGATTCTCCACTGTTTTCGTTAAGTCTGCAAACACACTGCTGTCTGGATGCCAACTCCTGCTTTCCCAATTTATGCCTCTTCCTTCTTGGACATACCACATGCAAATTTCTCCGGCTCCAAGCAGACAGCTCTCCATTCAAGGCCCTCCGCTAGGGAAGCTGGCCTGAGAGTGCACCCTGGGATATACATACATTTCACTGAAGAATTCCCTTTCAGCTTCTCAAGTGCACTATGGATCTGCAGAGGATTTTAACCCCTGCAGTTTTTAGTTTGTCCCTTTCAGACAAAGGATGTTGCTTGTCCCTTTGTGAGGCTTTACGGGATTCTGTAACTTATTTTTTAATTTCTTTCTTAGAAATCATTGCAATACCTCCACACTTAGTGCATTATTTATTTTACAAGTAAGTTATCTCTCAGATAAAAATATTCTAATAAGCTAACAGGCAGCTTCAGGCTCATTAATTAGAAGCCATAAATGTGCAGACTATGTAATAAGGTTCCCCCAGAATATTCTCTTCTCCTGAAAGAGAATCTATAGCAATGCACATCTTTAATAATAACTGCAAAAGCTAACTTACTAACCAATTTGATATCAGCTGCAGTTTTGGGGGGTCTTTTATTTGTTCATTTCAGATTTAAGAGTGTGTTACTGAGGGCCAGCCTGTGCCTGGTGTTTAAGATAGTTGGATCCCATATGACTGACTACATGATTCAAGTCCTAGACCCAGCAGCTTGAAAAAATATACCAGGCGCATTCACGTGACTGCCCAAAAATCCCAAGAGGAGAATGGGAGAATGGAGAAGGGATTGCAGCATGGCCATCTCTCCCTAGGGGATGATTTCCCACTTTCTTTCTTTCTCTCTCTCTCTCTCTCTCTCTCTCTCTCTCTCTTTCTCTGTGTGTGTGTGTGTGTGTGTGTGTGTGCGAGAGAGAGAGAGAGCATGTGTGGCAAGCACATGTTCCTTATAATAAAAAAAAAAAAAGAGTGTTATTGAAATGGGCAAGAGTTAAGGACTGTAGTGCCGTATTTGAGGTACTCTATACAGATTTCACCCCCAAACTTAGTAAGGTTAACATGTATCACTTAATTCAGAGCAGACAGTTCTTGGCTGGTTATTTTGATGAATAATAAGATGACATAAGAGATCCGAATATTAGACAAACTCAGACCTTCAGCCATAACATTATCACTCACGTAAAAGCAAAGCACTCCGCCTTTCCATTCACATGCTCTGCTCTCACCTGACGAGCAGCGTAGCTTCCGGGGGATCCCGGATATCGTTCTCTCAGCAGTGGTCGTAAGTCCTTTTGCCACATTTCAGAAATACTGGTGCCTTCTGCAATGTGCTGAAGAGACGATGAATTCAGAATGGCTGGTTGGTGATGATCCTGAGGATTAAACAAAATCATTTCATCGGTTATCATTTCATATGTTGAGGACTAACCCTGACATATTTCTAACTAGTTGCTTTAAATTTCAAAATAAAGAGATAACTTTTATGTTGTATTTAGTAAACTAAACTAAACGATCTAAACTAAGATTTCTAAGTGTAAGGGGCTAATTTTACAGTTGATAATTCTTTTCTTTTTTGAGAGAGACATTTTTGCTATAGAGTGTGTGCACTCCCCAGAGAGACAGAGAAAGCTGAGAGACAGAAAGTGAGAAATCACCCCCCAGCAGGATGGCCATACCACAATCCCTTCTCCTTCATTCTCCTCTTAGGATTTTGGACATGGTTGCACATGCTCCCAGCTTGAGTTTCAAGACACCAGGTAGAGAGCTCGAACAGTGGTCAAGCATGTGGGAGTCCAGCAACATGACATTACATTATCTACTGGTCCCTACAGTTGATAATTCTTAAAAAAATAAATAAATAACATAATGCTTTAAACCTGATAAGTAATATTTCACACTTACTACCCATGTAAATCTTTATGATCGTCTATACAACTTTTTGTAAGACTGAGATTTTTTAATATCAATTATTGGTCCTCTATTCTTTGAAATACCAATATTTGCTCAGCCCGGTGGCAAAGTTAGTAGCAAATTGAACTGCATTGCTGGAAGCCACAGAGCCACTGAGAATTCAGACCCTGAGTTGACCTGAAAACACATTTTGGTGGGTGTGCAACTATCCAAGATCTTGAAGCGTTGGAGGGTCAAGGAAAGGGGATCTCAGGGTGATGAGACCTTGTCAATAGTGTTTCTCTGTCTTCCCCCCCGCCCGCCGTGTTTGTGCATGTGCACTCTATCCAGAATAAAATAAGCCTAATATTTATGAAACTGCAGCCAACAAAATAACATACTTTGTTAGCATAATTACTTCATAAAACTACTGTCTTAGAGTCAGAGACACTGTTTTCAAAGATTTTAGCTGCCATTTATAGGTCATATGACCTCAATCAGGTCCCTTAAATTTGCATCCCCCACAAAAACTAATGAAGGAATTTGATCTAGATCTCAAGTATTCAATATGGTAGCCAGTAACCACAGGTGAGTATTAAGGGCTTGAAATGTAGCCAGTTGAATTGAGATGTTTTAAGTGTAATATATACATTGGACTTGGAAGACTTAGTATGAAAAAGGTAGACTGTTTCATTAATAATTTTTATAGTGACTACATGTTGAAATTATACCTTTTTCATCTATTGGATTAAATTTTATTCTTAAAATTAATTTCACCTGATTTCATTTTACTTTTTTAATGTAGCTACTAGAAAACATTTAATTACCTATGTACTTCCCATTAAAAATTTCTGTTGGACAGCACTAACTCAAATAATTGTTATAATTCCTTTTAGCCCACACTTGATGATTCTATAGCCCATTAAATGATAAACTTCTTATCTTCAGTTAAAATTATTTTAATAACCTACTAATATTCTTAGGTATACTTATTTATTAGCTAAGTGAACACTTATAAATGTAAATAAACATTATATTCAAATCTGTACGTCAGAGATGACTTTACACGTGCCGTATTTTCTTATAATGCTAGTAGAGATGAATCACTCATTGGTTACATATTTACTAGACACTTCATGATGGAGTATGTTATACCTCCTCAAAGAGAAGTGAATTATCGATCAGATGACTTCTTCCTTAGGGAAACGATGATGGTAACATAAAGATATTGAAGGATCTGGAATGCAAAACAGAAACTGGGAGGAGCATTGTCCATTGTCCAGTTCCTTCCTTGACAAGTGTTGGTTGAATATGCTTAAGCAATGTGGGTATTTTCACACCACGTGAAGACGTCCCATGGCTGGTGAGAAACTGGAGTTAGAGAATGCTTGTTGCCTCATTACTCATCATTACCTACACTTTGAGATAGCCCAGCTATCCTCTCCGGTATTTATCACGCAGAGGGATCTGGCTGTGGACTTGGGCACACCATCTGAACTCAGCACCCCGCCTCTAACTGGCTGTACCATATTAAGGGTGGAGGAAATAATACCTACATCATAGGGTAATCAGAATGAACTGACCTAATGTATGTGAACTACTGTAGTAAGTATGCAGTGTGTTAGTTCTATAAATTCCCTGTTATCAAACACTATAGGGGTTAAGAATTTTAGAGCTAAAAAAGTCACTCAGAGGTCACCTAATCCAGCCTCCTTGATTTATATTGGTGCAAACTGAAGTTCCTAGAAACCAGCTAATTTCCCAAGGTCCTAGGAGAGTTACAGGTAGGTTAACAAGGTCTGTGGATTCCCAATCCCAGGTTACTTCTACTCTTCCCATCTGTGCACTCACAGTTTACTCCTGAATGTTGATGTTGTGCCTGAATATTTTAAGCTTTCTATCTGTTTACTGGTAATACATTTATAAATATTTTTTTCTTGGGACCAGCAGGTGTCATAGTGATTATGGCACTGAACTCCCACACAGTTTGAGTCCCGGACCCGGTGGCTTGAAAATCACACCGGGTGTGTGTGTATGCATGCTCAAAATTCCAGAAGGAGAATGGAAGAGAAGGGATTTTGGCATGGCCATCCCCTCCAGGGGGTGATTTCTTACTTTCCTTCTCACTGTTTCTCTCTGCCTCTCTTCAGTGAGTACATGCATCCTATGGTGAAAACCTTTAAAATACATAGTTTTTCTTAATAAATCTGTCACTATAGCCTTTAAATTCCTCCATACTTCCAGGCTCTAAATCATATTCCATCTTTGTTTTAGTTTTTGCTTTTGTTTTGAGAGAGAGTTTTTATTTGCTATAGGGCACATGCACTCGCCAAAGAAACAGAGAGACAGAAAGCAAGAAATCCCCCTCCCCCGAGAGGGTGGCCACACCACAGTCCTTTCTCATCCATTATCCTCTCAGATTTTGGGCATGCACACACATGTCCACCTGTCATGAATTGTAAGCTTCCAGGTCCAGAATTTTAACCAAGGTCAACTGTGGGGGACGGGGAGGGAGAGGGGCTAGGTAGCCATCACACCATCTGCTGGTCCCAGTCATGTTAGATCTTAGTAGAACTTGGAGATGAAGCTAAAGACAAAGGAATAGAAATGTAAAATGGGAGAAGAAGAAAATGGAAGCAAAAGGTGGGAGACTTTCATGGTTAATTATTACTTAATCCAGCCCACAGGTTTAGTCTCTCCCACTGTCTCACGAGATCCATGAAATGTCACTGGCCCCCATTAACCATGCTTCAGCCACCCTGGCATCTGGCCAGACCCCAAAGTACTCTGAGGTTCTGCCCCTGGGTGACCTTGGCATCTGCGGTTCCTTCTGCCTTACGGGCTATTTCTCTTCCTCTTTACCTGGCTAACAGCAGCTCTTCAGGCTGCAGCGTGAAGGCCCTTGTGTGATTACTTTCTTATGTCTGTATTTCACACAAATGGTCAGTTCCATGAGGGCTGAAACTATCTTTCTTATTTACCACTCTTCAAAGCATCTGGTTCATATATTGAGTACACAATAACTACCGGTCAAATTCACCAACTCAGAAATCAACAGGTGAACTATTTTCTAAAACTATTTTTGCTAAAACTGTGTTTACATAGTAATAGCGTAAAATAAGCATTCTTGCCAGCCTAAACACCAGATCAGTTGAATGTACACCATCAATTATAAGGATGAGAGAGGCGCATGGCCACCAGCTGCAGGGCCAACACAGGCTATGGTTCGATATCACTGGGCTTTGTTGTTTCTGAAGGGCTGATGGTCCGTGGCCAACAACAGCAGGGTTGGCTCAGGACAGTCACTGTAACAAGAAGGGTTGTGCCCAAGGCTGTTTGATGAGTGATTCCTTTTCTATCTACTGGTGATTTCTCTATCCTAAAGCCCATCTGATCACTGTGGATGGAGTCCTTCACTTCATGTCCACAGTGAAGGGAAATCAAGCTCATGTGTTTTTTTTTGTTTGTTTTTTGTTTGTTTGTTTGTTTGGTTTTTTTGAGAGAGTTTTCACTGTAGGGCGCGTGCGCTCACCAGACAGACAGAGAGAGACATAGAGACAGAAAGCGAGAAATCACCCCCCAGGGGGGATGGTCATGCCGCAATCCCTTCTCCTCCATTCTCCTCTCGGGATCTTGGGCACGCACGCACACGCGCCCGGCGTGAGTTTTTTAAGCCACTGGGTCTGGGACACGAACCGCGGTCAACTACATGGGAGTCCAGCGACATAGCCATTACGCTAACTGCTGGTTCCCAAATCAAGCTCATGTTTAAACAATGATTTATAGAAGCTTCAAAGAATTTTTTAAATTTAAGAAAAATACAGGAATAAATAAATGCCCTCTATCAGGGATATTATGGATGAAACCCAGATGGCAAATAGCGCTACCCCAAAATACGTAATGGCTGAATAAAGGGTAAGTTCAACAAACAAGCCCACTGATGCTCATGAATATAAAGACTTACATGTGTTGGTCCTCAATACCTGGGCCATCTAAATAACACACTTCAGTAAAGAGCCCTCCCTGCTAGGGGGTGGTTTCTCTCTTTATCTGCCTCTCTGGGTACAAAGATGCCCCTGTGAAATCACAGATAGAAGCTTCCCAGTCACAAGGAAAGAGAAGAAACATAATCAGTTCATTAGTTAAGCCCTGCTGTTCATTAAAAGCCCTGTATAGGGACAGGAGGCAGGTAGTGGAGTAGAATCCATATAGGAAAAGCCCTGGGTTCCCATATTGGGACCTCCCTAAGGATGCTGGGCATGCATGCGTGCCTGTGATCCAGGTTGGCTGAGGTTGGGGGTGGATTGCAGCATGGAGACCCTACTGGGTGTCTCTCTCTCTCTCTCAAAAGAAATAAATCAGTAAGCTTTTTTTCTTTTAAAGCCTTGTATGAAAATACATTTGACTTTCCCAAACTAAACAGCATGCATTTAATTTTTAAATTACTTACTCTTATTTCTCGATTAATATAAAAATCTATGTG